CACTAATAAAAGATATGGAAATTATATCTATCATTATACATGAGATAAATGATATTAGAAGTAAAAATTAGTAAGCAAAATGGATAGTTATGAACTAAAAAAGAAAAATAGTTAAAAAGTTTTAAAAGTTTTTTTTCATTCGGGAAAATAGAAACTGCTGGATTTGATATGAAAATTATATAGCGTAACGAAATTTTGAAAATAAAATTAATTCAAATATTAAATAAGCTCCATTTCTTAATTCGAATTTAAAGAACGAAATCCATTTCTTATTAAATATTAACTAATTCGAATTTAAAGAACGATTTACTAATTGTTTATATAATTTTAAATTGAAACAAAAAGGGACGAAAACTACGTATAAATCAAATATCAAATTAAATAATAAATAAAACCCTTTTTCTCTGTTATCGATAACAGACAACAAAACAAAAATTTTGAGGTATGCAATAATACGATTAATCGATCAGTGGTTAGCCGAAAATGGCTGAAACCACTATTAATTATTTGGATTGTTGGTCATGTAATTACATTGTTTTTGTTCGAATTTATTAACAAAGGTTTTTGCATTTAAAAATTGAAAACAAAAATAACTGTATATTAAGCAAAGTTATCTAATAATTTTCAATGACTTCCAATACTTCTAAATAACTCAATCAATTAGCTTAAGTATAAAATTTAATCTTTACAGTCCAAATTACCCTTTATGCATCGTTGTACTATCTCCTACCTTTCGAAAATTATCTACCCATTATTTTAAAAGATAGATAATTCAATTTTTTTTCTCATCAAAATTATGCCATGTCTTTTATTATACACAAATTATATCATGTTTATCGCATGAGTTATACAATAAACACCATAATCAGTAAAATAAAAGACATTATACACAAGTTATGCTATAAGTATAGTATAACTTACCGTCTAAGTCGTACAATAAATCTACCGTAATCAGTAAAATTGAATTAACATTAGAATTTATCAAAGTTTTTCTTCAACTTATTAAATAATCGTATTAAATTAAAGAGAAATTGTTGTACAGATTTCAAAGACGATGAAAACGATGGTAATTTGAAGAATGTTGCAATCGAAGAGAAGTTATAAGCATAAAGATATGTTTGTTAAATACTAAGATATGTTTGTGATAGTCAATATAAGATAGTGTTCAAGTAGAGATACTTCAAAAGTGTATAAATTAACGATACTAATGATAATATTGTCTTGTGAACTTTTTGAGAAAATGTTAATTTTCGAAAATTAAAAATTAATTAATTAATATTTAGACGAAAAAAATGCGATATTTGAAGATAATCGTCTTTTATTAAACATTATTTAATAATTATTTTGAGAAACACAAATTAAAAGGACCTGTTGACGAAGCCAGTCTTGGAAAGATGACTGACATGAAGTCGATAGAAGCATTTGATAAAGAAAAAATGAGGCTACTACGAGTATGCGGAGGAAAAGTGCACTTTCTCATGTTTGAGCGGTTTCAAAATATTGCGACCTTATGAAGCAATGTATTTGTCGCTTAAAAATTCCGTTATCCCGTCCATCTTGTCCTGGTGGTCCTCTTAAAAGGTCATCTCTCGTTAGCAATTGTTGCGGAGTGAAAAACTCGTAGAATTTCGTTAAATGAAATTTCATCCAAATATATTGATCATCGTGAAACTTTATTTTTCATATATCACTGCTTTCCAAAATTAAATAGCTGTTGAAAAAAATGTAAACCGGGCTGTGTCTTCAGAGTGATTTGATTCGAAAAGTAATATAATCAACAATTGCAAGTTATAAAACAAGCGTAATGAGTTCATTCATTATTTGTTGGCAAGAGATGTGTGTCTTGTGGATTGACCTAAAATTTTATTTGGAGGAATTTGACCAATAAAGTACCAAAGGTCAGACACAAAATCATCTAACAGCCTGAGCAACCTTATTTGCAAGCACCAGCTACCATAACACTATTTCATTGCTCTCAATAGATTTTAAAATAATTTGAAGGCAAGTGAAATTGTTTAAAAGAACAAAAGATCTCTTAGAATCGGCAGCTAAATCCTTCTGTAGACGGAAGTATTCAGTCAAAGCAAAACAATTATAATTCCTCATACTGTACATTGAAAACTGTTGAAAATTTTTTTACTATTACTCCATAAATATCCTATTGTTTTGCATAATCAGGCAGTGGATTTTTATTTGAAATTGATAAGAAATTAGATGAAATTGGATAATTTAAGGAACTTCAGGAATTCTTTGAAGAATAAATACGTACCGGCATTAATTAGATATCCAAATCACTTATATTTCTCGAAGATTCAAAACCTGTTCTTCCATACATCCTTCCCCATTCTCTATGCTGACCTTCTGTCTGCCAGCCGAATCTTCTTTCTAGTTCACTTTTAAATTATTATTAGAAAGATCCGTTTAGCTTTCATAGAAACTATCAATAACCATTTAATGTTACATTTTGCTGCATTTCCAAACAACCATTCACAGAAAATTCTTAAAATGTTTCTTTGTTTCATGAATTCCGGAAAGATCCATATTAAATATTCGACTTTCCAATATAAACAGAAAACTTTGGCTCGAGCTTTACTAATCTTCATTTTTCTTTCACTTTACTGATCATCAATTTAAATCTTGAATTCTTTTCTCGTATAAGCGACGATATTATAATTTTTCAGCTAAAATTTCTGAATTATAATCAATTGATTACCTAAAGAATTGAGGAGCAGAAATAAAGAGATCGTTCCATCCGTGTAATATTTCTACTGACAAATTATCTTCTGAGAAAATTGAATATTTAAAAAATTTGAAAACTTTCAGATTGTCAGTATTGATGCACCTTTTCGGTATCTTTTTATTGGTTAGCTGTGTTTTCGCAGCTCAAGTAGGTTCCGCAATATATTGTTTCTCAGCAAAAATTTGTTTGGGACGATTTACGAAGTAGCAAAAGCATATAAATTTAATTTTTAGGCATGCGGATCATTACCATCACAAACAATAAAAGGACCACCAGGGCCACCGGGACGAAACGGACGGGAAGGAAGACGAGGGGAACGAGGAGTGCAAGGAGCTGAAGGACCACCAGGAGAACCAGGCCCAGTTGGAGAGCCTGGGCCTAAAGGTCTTCCAGGAGAGCAAGGACCAGTGGGAGATCAGGGAGACGTAGGTGATCAAGGATATCGGGGTTTGAGAGGAGTGGATGCGGGAAGGTAACGGAACTGACTGGTAATAACGAAGCGCTCCCTCTCAGTGATATCATCAGTTCTCTTGCGCTGTTTTTGTTTCTACCAACGTGTCGAACTTAATAAAATTTCTGCAAGTTATCAAATGCATTAACATTGAATGGTCATATCGAATGCAACAAATTACAACATTAGACAATATCTATGAAAGCTAAACGGATCGTTTCATGAACGGAAGGAAGATTCAGTTGACTGATAGAAGAAATTCAATAGTTGATAAAGAATTTGGCAAATGGAAGAGCCTTCGAAAAGCAGAAGTGATTTAAGATATTTCTCTGATGTCGGCTATCAGCCAATTAATTGTTTCTCAGGAATTTCTGAAACTCCTCGCATTTCTGGCAAAGTAATGCATTGTAAAATAGAAGATTGTTGCAGTGGAAATTACATCTGTCGCCTGAAAAGCAGTCTCTCTCTTAACGGTGGTGATGGCATTTTGAATATTAAAAATCATTTGGTTAAAAGCTACCGATGAAAATGTGGTGTGAGTAGATTAGTTTTAGGTTTTAGGTCGCCGTTTTAGGAATTTTTTATAAGGACGTGTGCAGAACCGCACTTCGATTCGACTCGAATTTTCAAAATTGAATTAAACTTTACTTGAAAATTACTGGTAACAAGGAGTAGTATAAAAATAAACAATTGGAGCGAAAGAACTGAAAAGATTGTAAAGCTAAAGAATTTTACGATATGACAAGAAAGAGCACTGAAAAAAGCCATATGAATTTCTCACTTTCATATTTCTATTTTATAATATAAATTAAATGCATAAAATAAATCAGATTAAGAGAATCAAAACTGAACAATTCAAAAGTTCGCAGAAATTCTTGTAGAAATTGTTTCAAAATTTTAAACTGCCTATATTAACTTATTCTTTCGGTGCTTAAAAGCACTATAAATGGCGCGTTTCAATTTGGTTCAAGTCAGTGTGATCAGTAGCAGTGACGAGCTGTATAATCAGCATTACAATTTATGATAGCATTACGAACGATCTTAGTCATCAATGTTACCAACTAACGATCGGTAAACAAACTGATAGTTTAATTATAGCTTGCATATTATAAAAGCAATAAGACTCCAAAATCTTTCATATTGATTAAATGTGAAAAATAATGTGTCAGAAACGTATTGCAACAAATTGGAGTGAAATTTTACAAAAAAGTAGGAATGAAGTTGACAGTTGAAATTTCATTAAGTTGTATAAGGTCAAAATTTTGTGATGTGAAGTAAACAATTAACTTTAATTAAATATTTTGGAGGCATTTTTATTAAATAATTAACTTATAAATAACTATATCAATTAAATTGCCAACTTACTACCGTTTCATGGTTTACTTTCTTTTTTTCTTTTTGAATTTCTGTCTTATTTTATGTATTTGCTTTTATTAGTTCTGCTACTGAAAAGAAACAGTATTAGTCTACTTAAGCAAATTGGAAACGTGCAATCATTTTGGATTCGAAACGTTGAAGATCACTGATTAGTGTTGTATTATGTGGAAAATGAGCTATTGAGTGACGTTGTTAGTTATTAACTTACTTTGTTACTTTTTGAAAATCATGTTGAAACATTTGATGGAATAGAAGTAAAAACAGAAGAAATTATCTTTAATGCTAAATGGGTTATTTCAAAAGATTTATAATTTTTTTTTGTTAACTTATCAAATTTAATGATAAACATAGACTTAAGTAACAACTCAACTTAAACAAGCTTTTTGAGAAAGATATTCAAGAAGATAACTGATTTTTTTGAGAAAGATATTTTTGAGAAAGATATTCAAGAAGATAACTGATTTTATTAAAAATAATCAGGTAGATTATCGAGCATATAAAATTGATATCCTTTTGTCAGTTTACAATCAATTTTCATCTTTCCATCATATGGTGAGTTAATTTTGGAAGTTGAAGAAACTATGATACACAGAATAGCTTTTGTAAAAAAAGATTGATAAAGGGGCGGTAAAAATGCAGGAAAGCGCTAAAAGGTAACATTTCCTGCATTTCATTCTTTCTACTCCATTGAGTGACTTCTTAGTCAAATCTCTGAATAATCTCTAAAATATGTTTGTCACATTGAACGAAATCTCTGAAACATTACGAAATGTTCAAAACTGTTTCGAATTGTAAACATTTCAATGGATTTTAATAAATAATTAAATGGCTTTATTTCATTTTTTAATAATTTCTCTTTGATTTTGGTTGAAATTTGATTAATTAATATTCGATGCTATTATCGTTGACGCCGCCGATACCATAAACACTGTTATCATTGTTGCTTAACTGAAAATAATTTATAGCAAATATTATAAAAATAATTTGTGTTTCAGAAATAATCATTTAATGAATCATTTAATGTTACATTTTGTTACATTTCCATACGACCATATTCCACAAAGAATTCATGAAATTTTCTTTGTTTCATAAATTCCGATATATCAAACATTCGAAAGATCTATATCAAACATTCCATTTTTCAATATAAGTAAAAAATTTTGGTTTGAAATTAGCTTTACTGTTCTTCAATTTAAATCTTTAATTCTTTTCTCATATAGCCGACGATATTATAACTTTTCGGCTAAAATTTTTGTATTATAATCATTAGAATAGCTAAAGAATTGAGAAGAATAAAGGAGCAGAAATAAAAAGATCGTTCCATCCGTGTTACATTTCTACCGACAAATTATCTTCTGAGAAAACTGAACATTTAAAAAATTTCAAAATTTTCAGATCGTCAATACCAATGCACCTTTTCGGCACTTTTCTATTGGTTAGCTGCGTTTTCATAGTTCAAGTAAGTTGCGTAATATGTTGTTTCTTAGTAAGAAATTTATGTTTGAGACGATTTGCGAAATAGCAGAAACGTATAAATTTAATTTTCAGGCATGCGGACCATCACAAACAATAAAAGGACCACCAGGAGAACCAGGCTTACCAGGAGAGCCTGGACCTAGAGGTTTTCCAGGAGAGCAAGGACCAGTAGGAGAACAAGGAGACGTAGGTGATCAAGGACTTCGGGGTATGAGAGGAATGGATGCGGCAGGGTAACGGAACTGACTGGTAATAACGAAGCACACTCTCCCAGTTATATTATCAGTTCTCTTACTTGCGTTGTTTTTGTTTCGTACCAACGTGTCGAATTCAATGAAATTTCTGTAAGTTTTCAAATGCATGTTTTTGTGTGGAACGATTAAACGTTCCACACAAAATTTGTTAAAATGATGCAGTTTTATTGTACTCAAATATTTATGAGTTTTGCTTTGTTTTTCTCCTTTAATAATGGAAGAGAAAAACCGGTAAATGTACGAAATAATCCGGAACACCAAAGGTTTGGAATCGATTCAAGATCATGTGCAATTCGCTTAAATTTATTTGAAATTGTGATTAATTGAAAGAGCACATTATAAAGGAGGATATAACAAACGAAATATTCTTTCTCTTTCACTGTGCAAAGCACTGTTATGATTTCACTAAATGATAAAAAGTTTCATTCACATAAACGGAAGATATTCGCAGAAGTTCAATCAGTTTTAGATACAAGATAAAAAAGAATGAAAGAGTAAGGTAAAATGAGAGAATCACTTTTGAGTGATAGAAAAATATTAAATGTTAATATGTCAATACAAAGTTTTCGGTAAGTTCTTCTTCACACTAAATCAACACGAAAACAAATTATAATAAGCAATTTCCGCATGGCGGAATTATAATTACAATTTCAGTTCACTGATCGATTTTACTATATCCATTAAATTCAATTTTTCATTCTTATTATAATAATTTTTTATCGCTTCTGTTAATCATCTGACTTTTTACTTTCTGATTTGTAATCTCCAATTATTCCAATTTCGATCACATTGGTCAGTCTGCCATTGTTACAATAATATGACTAATGATAACTGTTATCCATCATACCTCTGTAATATTCTTTCTATAGTCCCATAGCAATAAACTCTACCGATAATGCAACATCTTATCAGGTTATCTAATTTGCAACGATATCAGTAATTTTGATCAATGTTAATATCGCCATTATATTTATGTTTCTAAAGTTATAATAAGGAAAGTTTTTGCGAGCTTTCTGCTATCTTACATCCATTCCGGATCATTTTGTACTCTTTCTGATATTACTTCCTCTCACTGAAAGAGAAAGCAAAACAAAATTATGTTTTGTTTTGCAATAAGTGCTGCAAAACGGTTTTCTTTGAATAAATTTGAAGCAAAAATATTTTGGTGCTCAAAATTAAAACATTTTAAATTGTGACTTGAAAAAATAGGTTGTGATTTGAAAATAAAGTATTTGTCTTATAAAATTCAAGTTTTGCACTCCAACGTTTGTAAACAAATTCCATAAAGGCATCGATTATAATTTCAGGTCTATGAATTTCATGACATAATGTAAAGGACACATCAACAATAGGTTAGCGCAAATAAGAGAACTGATATCACTGAGGGGGACTGCTTCGATATCTTAGACAAATTCCATTGTCTGTTGCTTTTATCCTCCTGCCATTCCTTCTGTACCTTGATCACCTTCATTGCCTCGAAATCCTTTCAATCCTCTATTTCCTTTGTCGCCCGGCTCACCTTGCAGTCCAGGTGATCCAGGCTTTCCTGGTACTCCCTTTGGACCATCTGGACCAGGAGGTCCTAACTCGCCGTGAATTCCATCTCTTCCATCTCGCCCTGGTGGACCTGGCGGTCCTGGTGGTGCAGACCCTTGTCCTCCTGTCAGTAATGGTCCACAAGCCTAAAAATAAAAATTTGCATACAATTAGCAAAAATGCCTCAAGTCATACGTTCCTAATTTAGAGACAAACTACTAAGACTTACTTGGACGACGAAAACAGCGCAGATGACCAATAGGAAAGTATCGAAAAGATGCATTAATATTGAGAATCTGAAATTGTCTTTGTGTTAAGTGACAAAAGTTTTTCATGCTTCGTTTCAAAGCCTTCGTTATTTTTGATATTTTGAAAGATTCAAGAGAAGGAAAAAGCGGCCGATTCCAAAGGAGGCATTCAGGTTTCTTCAGAAAATCGTTTCAAAATAGAAATTTTTCGCTGATGAAACATTTTCTTTATTTACAATATACAATTCTTTAAAGCAAATTGTAATTGCTAGATCTTTTAAACATCACTTAAAAGTTAAAAAATTTAAAAAAAACCTTTTTTTTTTAAAAAGCTGAATTTAAAAACCTCACTTATAAGTTGTAACACTTTCGAAATATAAAAAATTGACTGCAATCAATTGATTAGAATATATGAAATCCGCCTGATATAGGATGTACGTGAGAGAAGTATTGAAGACTTTAATTAAAACTTAATAAATCTAATTTTGAAGACAAATTTTCCATTTATAATGGAAAATTGGATGTGTGATATGAATCATCCCAAAATTCATAAAAGAATGAAATATTTCAGGAATTCTTTGTGGAATAATCATATCGAATACAACAAAATGCAACCTTAAATGGTTATTAACGGTATCTATGGGCTAAACGGATCTTTTTATGCAATAATTTAAAGTGGGCGGAAAGAAGATTCGTTTGAAGATTAACGGTTGATACAGAATTTATAAGGATGGATGGAAGAACGAGTTTTGGGCTTTCGAGAAACAGAAGTGATTTGAGCGTCTGAGTGATGTCGGTTATCTAAATTGAAGATAGTAATAGTGGTAAATTAGAATACCCTTCGTCATCTGGAAAAGGCCTTCTATCAGCTAGTCCTGATAGAAGGTAGGTTATAGTAAAAAAACCAAACAGGAAGCATTTGTAACAGAATCGCCTTGATGAGATAGCTGATATTGGCAAAAAAGTTGCAGAATATTTTGATAAGATAAATCAGCGAAACTAAGTGATCGGTCCTGGTAGTATCCGGTCTTCCTTTTTATTTGGATTCTTCCTTTTTTCACCGACAAGGCTTATTCGCATACTTTATTGTATCATGAAATTCATAAGTTTAATAACAAATCGGTAGTGGGATAGAATTTTTAAAAAATTAAAAAAGCACATTGCAATATTGATTACACAAATATGTAAGAACAATTAATTGATAATTGGATAACTCAAGTTCCGTCTGAACTTCAAAACCTGCAAGTATTTCTGGAATTCTCATTATGATGGCCTTTTGCGCTTTCATTGTTTTTCATATTCAGAAATCCAAAATAACTTCACGAGAGCCAAAAATTTTTCTCTTAACCCTTGACCTTCCATCAGTCGAGCGAATCTTCTTTCCCTTCGCAAATATGACAAGAAAAAAAATCATTCATAAAAAATGTGTTACCATTCATATACACTGTCAATAATATTTGATGCTGTGTTTGTTGAATCCCATACAAAACCATTCCACAAAGAATTCTTGAAATACTTCTTTGTTTAACAAATTCCGGAAAGATTCATATCATTCATCTAACTTTTGAATATCAATAGAATCTCTCCTTGAAATTTGTTTCTTAAATTTCATTTAAATATTAAAATCTTTTGCAACATTTTTGATAGTATTATAAATTTTCAGGAATTTTTTGAATAATGATCTATCAATTATAGTCTATCCTAAGGATATAAGGAATATAAAAATTTTTTTTAAAGCAGTAGTTATTCCATTAAATTTCTCTTCAAAGAAAAAAATGCTTCAAATAATAATAACTGCGCATGGTAATTCAGTAATTGCTGAATTACGGCTCTATAGAAATTTAATTTCCGACAAAGAATGTTTCAGAATTATCGAAACAAAAGATGATAATTGAAATTACTCTCAAATTAATTACCATGTATGAATACTAATTTGCACTGACCTCAAAATAGCTGCACTTACAGAATTATAAGTAACAAAAATAAATTATAAATCACAAAAGTGAAGTTTAGATCTAGTCATGTATTCGCTGGTCAGTCTGACAGAATTGCTAATATGATAATTAATCATGTACCTATACTTGATACTTGACATCCGTTGACAATTATTGGATTTTTTAGCTCGATATAACTGATATGTTTGTTATTGTATTGCTATCAGTGTATTTTTTGTGATATCTTTCGCTCATTCAACCCTTCAGCTTCATTTTCACATATTTTTTTCTTATTTCAATTTATTTAATTAGCACTTTCTTTCTCTTTCAATTAATATTAGTATCTTATTCACATGCAATGATCTCAATTATTCAAAAGATTATTTTATTTTAAATAAGCAAGTATAATTAGTTTAGAATTTTAAAACAATTTAAATCAGTGATTTGTGAAATTTTTATAGTACGGATTTCTATAATTTTACTTTAATTATTTTAACTCTTTCATATTACATAATTATATCGCTTTTCCGTTACGAACTGAATATTATTGCATTATAATTGTAACATAATTTTATTAATTTTAACTTTTTAGTCTTAATATAAATAATCTTGAGCTCTTTTTGTTAATCAGTTGCCTTTTTTTTTCGTTATAATTTATAATCTTCAATTAATCCAACTTTGATTGCATCGATTAATCTGTCAAAGTCACCAGGAAAATGGCTAATAGCGCTATCATCCTTGTGACAAAGAGAGATCTTCCATCAGTTGACAATTATTCAATTATTGAGTCTGACATAAATTTGCTATCGATTTACTCTTTGAAGTTTTCATAGTTTTAACGAAGTAGAATACTTCTATATTTTTAACCAATATTCTAGAATACTTCATGCACTTACCGGTATTACATGCACTTACCTTACCGGTATTATAAAAGAAGAAAACAAAATAAAAGATTCAATGTTCGAGTACAATAAATGGTGTTTGTTCGAAAAATTAATTCGAATGATTTGATGCCCCAAGTTGAAATATATATTTAAAGTATTTCAAAAATTTCTATTAAATTAGAAAACAAATTTGAAGATTGGTTTATGAAATTCTACTCACAGTGATAAGTTGTGATTTGAAAGTATAATAATGCATTTGCTTCAAAAAATTCAAATTTTGTGCTCTAATTTCTATTCCATAGATGAAATTAAACATTTATAATCTATCTATTTGCGAGATTATTCATTTATTGCTAATTGCTTATTGCTAATGATTGATTTGATTATCATCGATTCAAGCTATAGCTATCTTACCAAAAGTTTATTTTATTTCTGAAAAGTGCAAGAATTTCTTGTAGTTATTTTTCTTTTAAATTTGAATAATGATTTCTATTTCAGCTAAATACTTTAGAATTTTATTACACATAAAATCATCGTCTGTTTTCTAACACAATATTTTTGTTGAGCAAAATTAAAAATGACAGGTAATAATCAGATGGAAAGATATTTTCAGGATGATATATTATTATTTTCTCGTTGAGAAAATAGACGAAGAGACGGACGTTCTCAAACAGTTTTCAGTTATTCTAAATTTTGCATCTAACTTTTGTTTTTTACCAAAGTAGTATTACCTATTTTATTCTTATAAATTTACAATATATTGGAAGAAATTATCAGTGTTATCCTGCCGATAATTATACGCATAATATAACATGGTGTACTCCACTATACGCTTCAGACGTACCAAACAAGGACTTCGGGGTATGAGAGGAATGGATATGGGAGGATAAAGGAACTAACTGGTTGTAACGAAGCACTCTCTCCCAGTGATATCATCAGTTCTCTTATTTGCGCTGTTGTTTTGTACCAACGTGTATTCAATGAAATTTCTATAAGTTTTCAAATGCATGGTTTTGTGTGCAACGCTTAAACGATTCAAATTTATTAAAATGATACAGTTTTGTTGTACTCAAATATTTAAGAGAAAGAGAAAAACCGGCAAATGTACGAAATAATCCGGAACAATTGGAACAAGGTTTACTTCAAGTAAAACAATGCTTTGAAGAAGAATTTAGGCCATTGAAGATGTTAAATGTCAAACAAAAGAGAAAATAAGGGCCAATTAAGATGCTAAATAAAAGAGAGAAGAAAGGCCAATTACGTGAATTAAAAAAGGAATATGTAAAAATGAAGTGGAAGGACTGAATGATCGAATGAAATGAATTTTCAAAACTACGACAAATTTTAAGGATATATCGACAACACAGTTTTAAAAAATGGATGATTGTCAAATAATGGCAGATGCTATTTAATCACAAATTAATACCATTACCGGTCAGAATTGAAGATCATCGGGTAGAAAGAAAAAAGATAGCTAACCATTAGAAAAGGCAGAAGATTCTTTATGATAAGAATGAAAAGTTAAATTTATTGAATATATTTTAAATCGATCAAAGAACTAACATCGTAATTTTAGTTCCACCACGCGGAAATTGGTATTATAATTATACTTTAGTGAGAAAACAAGCAAGTCGATTGCATTATAATTAGCCTTCGTATTAGCTCGAAAACGTTATATGACATATTAACCATTAATATTATGCAACTTCTGGTTTATTGCAACACTACTGTACATAACAGAAGCAAAATATTTTCTTTTAAAATCAGTCAAATTTCGAGAAGTATTTTACTCTTCAAATTTGATAATAACATTGTGATTCGAAAACATACAAAACTTTGCACCATAAAATTCAATTTTTTTAATTCAACATTTGCAAGCAAATTTTGCAGAGTTACTGACAACAATTTCAGGCCTAAGAAATGTGGTAGGTTAGCGCACAGAAAATAACTAAAACAAAGAAAACCAATATCACTGATAGGGAATATTTCAATGTCTCCGATATACTTCTTGGCCTGTTACTTTTATCTTCCTGTTGCTCCTCTCAAACTTCGCATTCCAATTCTTCCATTCTCTCCTTTCTCTCCTACATCTCCTATGGACCTGGAAGACCTTGAATTCCGCGCTTTCCTACTGGTCCACTTTCTCCTATGCTCTCCTTCATGTCCTTGTTGCTCTCGATCACCTGGACTTCTCTTTCGTCATCTCGTCTTGAGAGCCTGGAGGACCTGGAGGTCCTATACGTGCTGTTAATGGACCACAAGTCTGAAAATAAAATTTACACGCACTTGAAGACTTCTTCAAATACATCTTATCTCACAAACAATCAATTAAGGAATTTATTTGGATCAAGCAAACATCGCAGATGACCAGCAGGAAAGTAAAGGTACATTGACACTGGGAATCTACAAAAACAAAACTGATTTTCTAAATTTTCAAGTTTCTTTTATTTTTATTTTTTAAGTACTCGGAGTCGCACTTTTACTTTTATTGAAATTTCTTTTTATAAAAAATTGTGATTTGCCAGTCGTAATTTAAAAAATTTCTGTAGGAATTGGTAAACGGTTTTATAACTAGACATAATTTGATATAAAGAATTTCAAAGAGGAATATTCTGTTTATATTGAGAAGTTGGATGTCTGATATGAATCCTTTCGGAATCCATAGAACAATGAAGCATTATAAGAATTCTTTGTTGAATGGTCATATGAAATGCAACAAAATGCAACATTTTATGTTATAGACGGTAGCAATGAAAGCTAAAGGGATTTTTTTATGAATGGGAGGAAGATTCGGCTGACTGATAGAAGATCCACAGTTTGCAGAGAATTAGGGAGATGGAAGGAAAAATACATTTTGAGTCTTCAAAGAACAAAGTGGTTGAAAGTCTAGTTAATGTCAGTATTTATAAATAAGTGTTCTTTAGAAGTTTTTGAATTCCTTGAAATGTTCAACTTAAGCCTTCTTTCTTCTTATAACTGAAATTGAGATACAAATTAAATTTTTTGGATAGGAGAAACAATGAGTACTTATCCAAAAATTGCCCCAACAACAGAATATTCCTTTTTTTCACAATCATCAAAAAAATTGCAAGATGAATTCTTTTGAAAATTCTGTTTGGTTATCGATTATTATGACTGGCCTTTTTTCACGTCCAGATTGGTTTTCGGACGAAGGATAATCTAATTTACCACTGAATACCTTTTTTGGCGTTCTTTCATTTTTGCAAAACATTAAAAGATTCAAATTTAAAAGAAAATCTGGAAAATTTCAATTACCTACGAATACAATCAATTTCTGATTTTGCACCTTTTCAGGCCAATGCATCTTTTCAGTACTTTCCTATTGGTCAATTGTGCTGTTTTCGTTGCGCAAGTAAGTTCCCCAACGATTTGTTTCTATGGTAAAGATTATGTCCGAATGTAACCCTTGTTAGGATACCAAATATGTGTGAATTTTTTCAGGCATGCATTTTCAGGCATGCATTCCATCACAGATGGGAAAGATGGAGCCAGGACCACCAGGACCGGATGGGCTTGATGGAGAAGAAGGACCTGAAGGACCAAGAAGAATAAAAGGTCCTCGAGGAGACACGGGACCAGTTGGAGAGCGACGAGGAGAGCAAGGGCCAAGTGGAACGGAATATGAAATTTGTCGTAATTAACGAAGTAACGGCCTTCTCATTCGGTGATATCAGTCCTCTTTTCTGAATGAGATGTTGCACCGTCGGAAATATTAATTTTTAAACGACAAAAGATGGATGGATGATTGAGGAATGAATGGATAATGGTCAGTAATGTTGACCATAAGCTCATTTTAAGTGAAGCAGTCTGCTAAGGATGGAATGAAATCATTGCATGTAAGTAAGGGACGAATACCGAATTGATATGGGAAGTGTTAAGTGAATTAAATGAAATAAAGAAGAAATGCATGAAAATGAAGTAAGAAAATAAAATGACAGGAAAAAATAAATGACAGGACAATCTCTTCAAGGAGCGCAAAACTGAATAATTGTCAATTGATGGCAGATGTTATTTGGTCACAAGAATAATAACACGACCGGTCATTTTGTCATCAACTCTGGCAGACGCAGACTGATCAATGAATTCACAATTGGGATAATTGAAGGTTGCGAAGTAGAAACAAAGAGGATAGCTGACTAACGGAAACGACGAAAGATTATTTATAATGAATACATTATTAATTAATCAAAGGGCTGAAATTTGAATTATCATTCCGCAGTGCAGAAATTGGTATAATTATATTTTAGCTAGCAAATAAACGAACTGATTGCATTATTGCAATATGAAGAAGAGGTTATTGA